AGCGAGCGATCGACACGTTTCTCTGAGCTCGATGATTGCCAAAGGACAGCTTTGCGACTTGACAGGACGTGTTCTTGTGCGGCACGCTCGTCGTGATGCCCGTCTCAAGTCCCGCGGACTCTTGCGTCTCCGAATCAGAATGCTGACAATTCTTGATGGTGATGCTCGGATGATGGCGAGCATTTGCATGATTTCTCTGATCCACACATCTCGCCCGCGGCCTCCATATAAGAAGGGCTGCGAAGTTGCCAAATTATACTCGTGGCTTGCCAAAGTCAAGATTCAAGCAAGTTCAGTTTTGCGAGTCACGAGTTGGGTGGAGGGGATACGAAGGTGGTCACGTGGTAGTGCAACGACGCTTGACTCACGTGACCCTTGACTTGACATGGCTGCGCGGCCGACTCGTGACTCGTGACTGCTGCTGACTGCTCAACTCTCGACCGAATGCTCACAGCGCATGCACAGCAACAGCGGCGCAGCCACCATTCCGTGCTTTCGTGCTGCTTCAGCCTCGCTGTAACTCCAGAATCCAGCGCGTGTATGCTGCCACCTTCCTCCACAGCGTCAGATTGCACTCGACGAATTCACAATCTCGTGACCTTGTGAACGGTTTCGTACATTGAGATCTCTCTCTACTCAGCCATCTCAATAGCTCGAAAGACTTCCATCCGTCTCATCTTTGGGCCTCGGAAGAAATCAGTCCGGGCGCGTCGCTTCGCAGCATTCAGGCACCATCCCGCCAATCCCTCCAAACGAACGTGGCAGCAGAAGCAGTCCACTCTCCTGTTCCTTCTCGGCCTGTCCACACGATTTCAGCTACGGCATGTACAACCATCAGCAGAGAGCTCTGGGGTCCGGATCCGGGTCCGGATCCGGCTCGTCGAGCGGTGGGTATGGCGGAGGTTACGGTTCGGCTCCCCCACCTCGAGGAGCTTGGTCATCGTCATCGCACGGAAACAGAGGGAGCGGATCGGCTGCTTCTACTGCTGCTGCTCAGATCGGAGCGTGGGCCGATTGGGCAGCGAAGAGCTTGGAAGAACGCATCACTCCTGTCGGAGAGATGATAGGTGAGCCGCAATGACTTGGCCAGCTTTGTCTAATCAGACCTCTCATGGCCTGCCCTCCGAGGGTGCTTTCTGCACCCTAATTGACGCTCGTTGTGTGCCCGCTTTGCAACAGAGCGAGCATGCTCTCTGCACAATCGTCAACCCAACCTGGCCCTGAACTTGGAAATCGCAGATTACATCAAGAGCAAGAAGGCAAACACGTGAGACAGGGCTTCTCAGCTGCGTGCTCCTAGCGTCACGAACATGTCTGATCGCTGTGTAGCATTCCTCTTCACTGATCAACGTCTCGCAGGCCGAGAGACGCCGCGATAGAAGTTGTTGCGAGAATCAATTCCAGACATCCACACGTAGCCATGCTAGGTCTGCATGTAAGTTGAAAATAGCTTCTTTGGCCAGCTACAATGCTTTGTGCTGAGCTCCACTCTTCGCCGCCATCTAGCTTCTCGATAATCTTGTCAAAAATTGCGGATACGCTTTCCACCTCCAAATCAGTACGAAGGAATTCCTGAACGAATTGGTCAAGAGGTTCCCCGAACGACCGCCTATGTTTCTGTCACCTCAGCAGAGCAAGGTGCTCGAGCTGATTCATGAGTGGAAGAATACGATATGCGTCAGCAGTAAGCACAAGGAGGATCTGGTGCACATTAGGGACATGCACCGGTTGCTGGGCTACAAGGGTAAGCGTGGCGCGGATTCGCGCGCTCGAAGGCGGTGAGCTGATCGATTCGCCACACCACCGCACAGGCTATCGTTTTCCACAGTTAGACTCTAGGGCTGCCAGCGTCATGAATCCTGAGGGCACGCTGCGCTCACCTGAAGAGCTGGAAGAGGAGGATCGGGAAGCACAGGCCGCTGTAAGTTAGCCCGCCGATGCGGTCACGTCAGGTTGCTCAGCCTGCGCCTTGCGACTGCTGCAGAAACTCCAAGAGCTTATTCGTCGGGGCACACCGCGGGATTTGGAACAAGCGCAAGAGCTGATGGTAATCATGAGCGGTGCTCAGCCAGAGAGCAAGCCGGACTACAAGAGTCAGACTGGCAAGGAATTGGACAAGGTGCAATCGCGAGCCATTCTGCTGAACGACATGCTCGACAATGCTACGCCAGGGGAGAAGTTCGTCAAGGGCGATGCTTACGATGTGAGTGAAGTCTTGAACACGTGCGTCTCGTTCCGAGGCAGCGCTCTCATTTGTTGAAAAGTCACTTTTTGAACGACACAGCAAATTGCTCATCACCTTCGGAGCGTCCAGCCGAGGTTGCAAAAATGGATCGGAGAAGCAGAGGAGGAGGAGAGCGAGCATATGGGTGAGTGTTATGGCATGCAGCAATAGTAATGTGTAATCTCTACTGATCTCATTTCCTATTTTTCCAGACCGCTTGCTGCTAATCAATGATTTGATCAACCAGATCTGCGATCGCCATCAAGCCTTTGCGCGGGGTGACAGGGAAGCAAAGGTCACGATTGACGCTTCGTGAGTGCGGTCCTTGTCCCATGCCCGATTTTGCAACCCACTAAATACTCGAGCTTCCATACCCGTAGCATTGATCCGAGGAAAGGTGGCGCGGATGCGGTACCGACTGCCAAGATCTCAGACC